CCTTCATGGCTGCCCGCTGCCGCTCCCCGCCACTGCTTCGAGCCGTTCTTGTCCAGCCGCTGCTGTCCGTCGATGGTGCCCCGTCGTGTCTCTCCCTCCCTCCTTCGTCGCCCTCGCCGGGTCCCTCGCTCCCTGCCCCGCCGTGTCCCTCCCTTCCTCCTTCGTCCGCCGTGTCCCTCCCTCCCACCTTCCCGCCTCTGCTCCAGCATCTTCCTGCCGCTGCTCTAGGATCTTCCCGCCGGTGCCGTCCCCGTTTTCGAAAAAGTTCTTTGGGGGAAGGGCCTTGCCGAATTCGAAAATTCGAATTCGGCAGGCCCTTCCCCCAAAAAAAAATTTGCAGGTGGGGCGCAGCCGGTTTGCCGAGTGGCGCGGCCCACACACACACACACACACACACACACACACACACACACACAAACAAGTATGGCCAACACGGGTCAAAAACACGGCGAATGGCTGGGAAACGGGATGGTCAACGGGCTGACCAAAGGACAGTGAGGAGCAGGTGGAAGCGCATCATTAACAGGGCATTTTCAGCGACCCCTATTTATCGACGTGCGCGGCGCGGCCGTGCGCTGTGCGGTGCGCGGCGCAACGTGCGCAAACCGGCGCACTGACGTGCACCGCAACTATGGTCAGGATCTGAGGTGAGGAAGAGTGCAGCATGTGGAGACAAGGTTTTACACACATCGATGTCTTTGAGCCGGGCGCAGACATAGGGCCACACATCTGGAACACAGTTGTGATTGCAACTAGGAAAACGTTCAACATGCATTCACACTTATTATTGATATCCAACTGTCGTCTTCAACCAAAAACTAACACCCGTCGCCCGGGAAATATATTCAACTTACATCCCTTTGAATATAACGCCCAACGGCCAGGCGTTATATTTGAATGTGGCATGGGCAGCTTGCCTTGTAGGGGGTCTGAAAGGGGCTTGAACTTTAAAGGGGTCCGTGTTTTGGTTTGATTTTTCTATTTGTTTTTTTCATCTTCTGATCAAGGAATTCTGAAATTGACCAAGTGTTGTTACATTGCAATTCTACACAGCATTCTTTTTACAGAATTTTCCTGAGTGAGAACGCCACCCGGCCAGGCCTTCCCTGCCAGGCTAGGCCCAGCCGGTTGGGCCCGGGGGGACTGCCTGGGTAAACCGGGCAGGACAAAAAAACGCCCAGAGTTGTTTTTTTTTTTCCTTCTTTGAAACCGGGGTCGTTCTGCGCTCGGCAAGAGGACCCCAAATCTGCAATAAAATTTTGGTTTTGGTGGGGGGATGGGGGGGTTGGTCTGGGTGGGAGGTGCTGGAGTTGGGGGGGTGTCTGTGATGGGGCGCAG